GAATCTAAGCAGATCTGCACCTTAGCGGTTTGGAGGAACACCATTGCTGAAACATCCTTAGCGGGTTAGCAGGGCGACGCCGACAGCTCGCAGCCGACAGCTCGTCACGCCATTTCTCCCAGAATCTGAACCTGGGACCTTTTTGTTCTCCCATAGTTCTCCCGAACCAAAAGGCAAAGTCACGTTCGATCACCTCTAGTGAGTGTTGGTTTCATGCTGTGATCTTGTTAAAAGGAGAGCTTTCATAATCCATGAGTGTTTCCAGGCCATGTTGGTTCGGGAAACAATGGAATATTAGATGAATTGTGGATCACTCCTCATTTCAAGGAGGATGATGGTACTGCCTGGGACAAGGACTTTCCCACATAGCTGCGACGCCCCTCGGCCACTAAACCATCACGGCGAGTCGTTTCTTGTTATGACACCGTGGGCATCATTCCCACGTTGTGATGTTGGCACCAAAAACAAACATCTTTGAGTGGCTTCGACATGATAGTAGTATTATGTAGTACAGTATTTGAATACTACCTTGATGCTTCCACCAAGCTTGGAATAGCGGCTAGCGTGCTTTGCCAGCACGGAGGCGGTTATTTTTCGTTCGCTTGGAGCTGCCAAAGAGATGATCGAGCTTTTTCACCGCGCGATCACCGACTCGGTTTGCAGTTGGCAGCATCGCGCGATCGCTGAACCTCAGCAGCATCCAGCTGAGAGCCTCGTCCGCAGTCATAGACATTTTGTGTTCCGAGGCACCCCCCCTGTTTGGGACGCCGGACGCTGGCTAGGCTTCTTGACACCAAAACACTTAGCTTCCAGTCACTTCCAGTCACGAATAACAGCCTGGTCAAACATGCACTGGACATGGCAAGCAACTAATAGGAACAGAAACTGAGAGTACCTAGGTTGGCGGTTGATGACTTTTGTGGCCAAGAAATTGCTGAAAACGGTGTAAACGGCGCTTCTTGGCACATCGTTGACTGGCAAGGGTGTTTACTCGGTTTCAATTGGTTTTCATGGTGTGTTTGTGTGTCGATTCTTAAAGAGGTCGAACTTTTTGAGTGGTTCTTCGGGGCAAGAAAGGACCTAAGAAGGACTTGTGTTGCTTGTGGTTTTAGGACTTGGTTTCATCCTACCGATCGGTGTCATATATATATATATACATGGGCCATTATATTTCTGACAGACAGTGTTTCTGATAAAGCTCTTTGGTACCTTCTTTTGGGGTGACCATTGCGGATCTAGGATGTTCGTCTTGGAGCGCTCGCAAGGAATTGGTCCTTCCTGGCGAGCTTTAATCAAAAGGTTTGTCATCTCAAAATATAGTTCTATTTTCGTTTCACTATATCGAATCAAACTTCAGCATGGGTCAGAGCAATTGACTTGACCAGCTCTCCTACTGCCAGGAATGAGATTTGTCACTGCAGGAATTTCTGCTCCAGAGCCAAGCTATTGATTCTGACGATGCAGAAGTGTTTGATTCACATAGCATTCTGGGCTCTCGCCTTGGGCAGCGAGAGGTTTCTGAGCGACATCTCAGCCAAATGTCTCCTAACAGGATGGGCAGACGAGAGCCAAGTGGCGGATCTCTTGAAATACTCTGAGGACCGTCAAATGTGGTCGTTTCTCCACCGTCGGACCGTGCCATTTGGGATGCTTGAAGAAGAAATGATAATATCAAACATGGGAAGAGTTCAGCGAAAGAATCCTCCAGATAGCAATGATCAAGATATTTGTATGTCAAGATCAGCAAGAAGAGTCCAGCAATAGGGTTTGGGGGTTGCCAGGACTGCTTCAATTGGAACCCTGTGACAAAGCTTACTGAAATGAACGACGCGACAGAGTGCGTGCTCTATCATGTGAACCTACGGTGGGGGTGGCAGCCAAAGCTTGAGGCCGGACTGAGACCAAAGTTGTGTTGAAGCGTAAAGGCTAATGCGATGTTGTTCACATGTTCTGTTCTGTTGGTAACAAGCCGAGGAAGTATGGGTTAACACGTCGTGATTTTTTGCTTTGGAATGCTTTTGATCTCGTCAGGGTCGACAAAGTCAACAATTCATGTGGGCATTTTTCAGGGTCTTTCCGACCGTTGGCACGTGTCCGTGGAGGCCATGGGCATAGATGAGGGCAGTGCGGCAGGCTTTGGAGCTGATAGCACGGTCATTGCAGTGAAGACTCCAGGCGGCCGCTGGCAATTCGTTTTGCAGAGGCCCCAAACCCCAGCCCCAGCGGACCACGGGGATGCCACCGTGATGGTACAGAGTTTGCATCGAGGGGATGCGACGGATGCACAGGAGAAAACGTTCATGGGCGGGTTAGTTCTTGACATGTTTGATTTGCTTCCGATTCTCAATCAAAGTTTTGAAGGGTATTGTTTTGATCTTCTACATGAGCTGTCATGCTGTTCATTGAACCATAATCACCTTCGAAGACCGTTCAAGTTTAAGCCATACTTTTAGCTATTTTGCCTAAAGCTTAATCCAGGCTCAGACGTTCGTTTTAGGAGACAGACTTGCTGCACTTCACAGAGAGCTGCTTCCAAAAGAGTCCAGTGGACACATCGAACTTGGGTAGCTTGCAGGGCTCCCTGGGTGGTGCCATCCAATGTGTGTTGGATAAGTGCCAAGAGAAGTGGGGATGGAAACCAGAGCTGTCTGGTTCAGGTTCTGACAACGGTGGACCATATGATGTGTATGGTCTTGGAGCCACGGTCATCGGTGCAGAGACCGCTGGTGGCAAGTGGCAATTCATTGTCCGCTTGAAGTTCTGAAAGGAAGCGACATTCGTGAGGTGCCTTTTGTGGCGGATCAGACTGAACGCTCTGGCGTCGCAGACCCTGCATTCTTGTCATTTCTATTCGATCCTTTTGTTTTGCAGCAAAAGTCTGCAAAAGCGCTGGCATTGTGCCACATGATAGAAAAGAACTGAGTTGCTGCGGATAGACAATCCATGGCACGGTTGTGTAGATTTTTGCAAGTCGTCACTTTAATTTTTATTGTCCCCCTGCTGACCGATGCTGATGATATTGGGTCGTATTTTGTCTAGTCCGACTGGACTCGGTGGACAAGGAAACACCCACATAGAAATCCGACATAACTCTTGATTTGTTTTTGTTGAAGCGCAACACAAGCTTTCAGGTTTCAGTTCTTGCTCATGATCCGTGAATTCTGTGTGCTTGCCACGACCGAAGACCTGGGGCGATTCTTGGCATTCAAAGACAGGTCGTGTCGCTCCCACAGCGACAGGTCTGCAGTTTGTGGTTTCTGCCGAAATGCGGGCTGCAGACCAGCGGCTTTGGGCCGGTCTTGCAATATGGGCTGCTTTGGTCTTTCGGATCGAAACTGTACCCACAGACCACTTGGGATGGTCGGCACTGGTTTTGGTGTCACAAGACCAAACCTTTTGGATCCAGGGACTTTTGTTTGAGGCGTCTCAGGTGCATCTCACAAGACTTCTCGTAAGGTTCATTCTGTCTTGGACAGCTAAGTGCCATGTGTTTGTCGTTTTACTCGCAAAAGTGCCATGATTCGTCTAGTGGGTGCTGCATCGAACCAGCAATCATTGAGAAAGACTATAGGATGATTAAGATGATGTGGCATTTCTGTTAGGATTATGTGGTCGCTTCTGTCTCCGTATCATCCAAGGTGATTGGTGGTGAATCCCACACGCCCATCCTGCTGACGATGATCTTCTCATCGCCATTCTGCTGATGCCGATCTTGTCTGGAGAACTCACAGAAAGAAGACACGGTCGTTGGGCTACAATGTCAACCTGTGATTGACATGGTCAACTCAACTCTTCTTTGGATCCATTGCCACTCAATGAAAAAGAGCACCTATGGGACCTGTCAGCTGTTGGCTTTGTAAGACAACATTTCAATTGAAGTCTCTTCTTTGGGGAGGTTACTCATGATTACTCGCTGCGGCGCCCAAAAGACCCCCTCAGCTCCACTGACAGACTGTGGACTCAGCGGTCGATGGTCGCGCTCCGGAACTCGGAGCAGAGCCCGGAGAAAATGCATCTGTTCCGCGCCGTCGGTGTGACACGGAACGTGCCAGACGTGCGGAAGAATCAGGTACAGTGAAATCATAATTCAGCCATGACAGATGCAAGACCTGCACAGATGTTGCGTTCCGTTCTGGAGCTGTGGATTCTTGCTCCATCCTTAAATCAGGTGGCCTTCCTTGAAGAATGTTCCGATCTACTAATTGTCAACACCTGCACATGTTTTTTTTGCTGGATTCACATGTTTGATTTGCTTTTGCACTTCGGCTGGGAAGGGGGACACCTGGGCGCATCGCAACCGGGCAGTGGGCTAAGAAGTTCTTTCATGTTCTTTCAGAAATGGGGACGACTGGATGATGTTGCAGGCTAAGCACTTAATTACTGAGTATGATTGAATGTGTACTAATTAGTAATTCTGGGTCTATCCAAGGATAGGTCAAACATTTTGTGTGTACTGTTAACTGAACACCTTCAACTCTGAGGTGGTTCTGTCCACTGACCACTGACTCTTGACTTGAAGTGAGTAGAGGTCAACAAGTGTTGGACATGTGATTTTGCGCTTCAGAGCGACCCAACGTCCAGATCAGTTTGACCTTGTTGAGCCAGTTGAGCCATTCTACACAGAAATCCTACGCAACAACATTGGCTCGCTGCTGAGAACCGACGCACAGACATGAGAACAAGAACTTAAACAGCAGAACTGCAGAACAGTGAAGTTCATGTGCACAGGTGAAGTTGGATGAAACATAACATCGCAAACGGTGCAACAGACTGTCTCAAACAATCGTTGGCCACGGATGGTGTTAGGTTTCTCTAGCCCAGCCTAGATCCGCAATGAATCACTCTACATGACCATACAACTTTGAGAAACAAAGAAGCGACGTGTTTCCAAACTCGGTGGGCAAGCAAAAAGGTCGATGTTATAATATGTTACATCAAGATCTGTAGGTGATCTGTGTTCGACCTTTGACCATAGTCCATCACATCGTTGCTCAAACTGTGTGGGATCGGCCCTTTTGTTCCCCCACGCACTTGAGACGCCGGCGGCGCCTTTGGTTTGGCCAGCCATGGAGTCGCTGTCCTTCCTGGATTGTGGGGAGAGAGATACAGTTCCTTGGCACGCTGATGTGACACCCCTGGAACCAAGTTACTTCGGATATTTAAAATGTTTTTCCAATTTACTTCAGATGTCTATAAAGGATATGATGCTGAGAGTGATGCTGAGTTAGACTTTTATTGGATTTTCGGCCCATGATCCGGCTGCAATCCAGGATCTGTTCACATGGAGCACCGCCTATGTGCTTTGGTCGACACCCGGGCGGGTGAGCAGAAGGCCTTGGATAGATGGTAAGCATCAAAAACATTCAAAAACAAAGATAAGCGACTCATAGACTCTAGTTACTAGTTAACTACAGGGGAAACGGCATAGATATAAGGGTACAAAACACCTCTGGTTGTTGAAAGCTATCCCTCACCGGGGTGGAACCTCAGAAGTCGTTGACTGTGGCGGTTGACTGTGTCGAGACAACACAAGTCTCGGGTGTGAGCGCCGCTAGAGCCGCCCCGGTCTCAACCCACCAGGGGAGTTCGCCAGGTGCCTCAACCCACCCTCCACCCTGAGGTGGTGACAGCCGTTTGTGCTGTGAGTGCCGTGCTGGCGAGCTGTAGCAAGGAGTGCTGTAGCTTCGAAGTGAAACATGGCTGTGGATCGAAAGCAGACACCCAAAAAGCGCCAAGTAGTCCCATAGAGACTTAGGCAAGCATCCCAGATCATCCACATCCACCTGTCCTATACGGGGGGTGGGTCTTGTTCTGTGGGGGTCATGTGACTCTCTTCCAAGCGTGATGCGCTCACGAGTTTCTAGTCTTATAGGCCACACTCGAACGCTTCATGCTACTGGAACCAGGTGAGGTCTGAGTGCTCGAACTTTGGGATGGTGGGGAGTGGGTAAGACCCCATGACCATGTCTCATCTCATGATGTCCAATACAATTCAACAAAAGGTGGCATCAGACATCAGAGGTTCTTTGCGCTGCAGGGCCCTTTTTTTTGTGACAGTTCCACGACTTCCCTTGCTTTCGTGATGGTGACTCATATCCTCTGTCATTTCCCTGTCGTTTTTTGCAGCCACCTCCTTCGCCAGGACACCCAGAGTAGACAGCTCTTCTTGATCTTCGCACTGGTCACCGGCCTTTCGTTCGGTTTGAGCGGAGCCTCCCATATGATGATCTACGAGCTGCAAGAGGGGCTCCTGGGCGAAACCAACCCACCCGGTCGAATTTCCCAACATCGATCGTTGCCCGCGGCGAGTAAACCACCTGGGACGATGTAAAGAAACCACACGTGTTCAACTCCGAAGTCTATGCGTCAGATACTGCGAGGTCGTTGCTATCTCAGTCACAAGCAGGAAGTCTAAGCACCAAAAAGACCGTCCGATCCACCTGGGGCCGTTCTGAGGGGCCGACGGTGTGGATCCACCTGGGCAGAGGATCACCATGAGTGGATGCCGCCTGGCGGGAACGAACACGATCCCGCAGAACATGCGGAACAAGCCACTACTAGGGGCTCCTGGCATCGCTACTAGGAGCAAGGACGCTATTAGGGGCTCCTGGCCGTACTATTAGGAGCAAGTAGCTACTAGTAACAATTGGTCAGAGCTGAGATTGGTGTCCCCAACCAACGATCACACCACAACCCTTCGGGTGTCCCCGCCACTTCTGCAGGGGGAGAGAGATATGTTGATAGGTAAAATGATGCATGGTGAGACAGATTTGAGCCAGTTGCCTTTTTAATCTAGAGTATTGTGAGCTATCAATTAACCTCAGCAGTGTCAGGGATGTTTGGGATTTCAACCTGGGAACGATGTTTCCAAGTCGGAATGTACCAATCATCAAAAATCCAGCTTTGACATGACCATTCAATTCGGCACTACTCAGTACGGCACTACTCACTGGTGACAATCTTCTCAACTTCTCAGCGTCTTCCTAACTAGCCCTTTTGGTCAGGTACAGTTGGCTCTTCTCCTTGGCCTTTTCGCCCTTCTCGCCCGCTGCCTTGGCAGCACTCTCCATAAGCACCACGGAGATCAGCGGCTGGGCTGCAGGGGTGGGGCAGTCGGTGAGCAGAATGTAAAAACTTGATAGCAAAATTGAGTTCAGAGTAGACAAGGCCATCGTTTGTGTGATGCTCTAGCGTGAAATCACCCCAAGATCATCCAAGATCCTTGATATTGGTGTCATTTGCTCAGGTCAACCAACTGCTTTGTAACCTTTTCCTCCAAGATCGGCCATCGGCCGGATCTTTGCACTACCAGGTGGCCGGATCATCGGCATCATCGCCGTCTTCTCGATGGCCTTCTCTGTGGCAGCCCTGCAGGTCTATGAGTGGCTTGGCCTTGGTTTTGGATGTTGCTTCGTTTATGACCCACTGGAGAACCTATAGGTATCGCCCGTGGGTTTGGACGGGACTCTTTTGACATAGCCAGTTGGTCGTCTTAGTGAGACCACTGTTGGCCACTTTGGTGGATAACTCTTAGTCAGTCTCTTAGTAATGAGTGGGACGGGCGAATGATCAACGGCGGAATCCAGGCGTGAGTGAACTTTGGAAGGAGATGAAGTTGGAACCAGGAAAACCAGGCTCATGTGTCCTACAACTATTTGACACCTACGTGATGCATGGACTTTGAACCCAAACAAAAGCATGTAGAGGTAGGAAGGTGTATGTTTTCATGTTCACTTCTCCGTGGAGAGTTTATTCCGAATACAATGTCGTTATGCGCATATACCGTACGATACACTTAGAACATGGAAAACATTATTGTTTCACAGGCGGGAAGTTCTAAGTGTATAGGTTGCGATGTTCTAAGAGTATGCCAGCAGATGTTCCAACCCTAGAGTAAGAACATCCCAGGCCCTCGCACCTACACTAAGAACATAGTCCAACACATACACTTAGAACGTATTTTTAATGTGTTTTTGACATTGAGATGGAATAGTTGTGGAGCCTTAGAGTGATGGCCTCCTACCTAAGAGTGATACCCATGGCCTCCAACCTGTTTGGTGTGGTGCTGGAGAGAGCAATGGCCTCCTACCTAAGAGTGATGGCCATGGGAAACCCACACACATATATATATATATTATCATATATTATCTATATGTATATATATACATATGATGTTCTAAGTGCGCTGTTTTCTCTTGTTCCAATAGTGCTTGCGGTCCATGTTCTAAGTGTGCTTGCACTGGATGTTCTAAGCTCGATGCTCTAAGTAAAGGAGTTTCCATTTTGGGAAAAATGATGCTCTACATATAAGTCTGCAAGTATATATGTGTTCTTCTTTGTTCCACCAGTGTTCACAGCCGACAGACGTCGAAGCGGATGGCATGACAGATGGGCGGATTGAGATGCCAGGAGAACCTAGCAGGTACTTGTGTGACGTGCCAGCAGGTACAGGTTGTCGCAAACATGAAGCAAACATGATTTGTTTGCATCATGATTTGTTCCACACAGGAACTTGGAACTTGGCTATACCAACCATCGCTTGAGATTCATGTACAGTTTATCATATTCCGACGGTGTTTTGTGTGTTTGTTCTGCATTCATTCATCTACAGTCAGTCGTCCACAGTTTTTATAGTTCTTCCTTCCAGTTCCATGAATCTCTATTCTGGGCGGCATGGTCTCTCTTTCGAGCTGGTCGTCACCGTCGCCACCAGGTTTGCCACCTCCTACGTGGTGACGCCTGTCACGTGGCCACCTCCGGGCGGTCGCGACACCGCGAGTCCGGTGGCGGCGCGATTTGGGGTCCATGAGACGCTCCGGAAGTATAGATGGTTCAGTAGCTTCTTGTTCCTAGTAACTATTTGCCTCTAGTAGTAATGCCCTTGTTACTAGTAGCTTCTTGTTCCTAGTAGTAAGGCCAGGAGCTAGTAGTAGCGTCCTTGCTCCGTTCGTAGCGATGCCCTGGCACCCTTTGTTACTAGTAGCTTCTTGCTCAGCCAGGAATTTGAGGATCCTGAAGAAAACAGTCATATATTGGTTTTGATGTCAAACCAATCTATCATCATTTATTTGTTCATCTAACTAACTATCTATTATTTGTCTATTTCTCTATTTGTCCATCTATCCATCTATCCATTCATTTATTTGTGTAGATAGCGCGAAAAGTTTGATTACAAGACTTCTTTAAAATGTTTAGCAGAGCCGTTGTTCCCCACCCACCGGGAATGAGGTAGCTAAATCTGTCATAGACAACCCACCAAATCGTGACCTTTGCCGTGAACATCACCCAGTTCAATGACAACATTGACAAGCACGACAGCAAACAACGGACAATCACGGAGACTCCACACACATACAAACAATGACGACACCTTTTTTGTTGCAAGAACCTGATGGTTGGGAATACAACAACCATCCCAAGAAGCCCCTTGTGGAATTGGATGTTGAGGGACACTGTCAAGACCTGGCCTGACCCATCTTGGTATGCAAAGTGCCTGAAGAAATGAATCCAGATTTGGAACTCACATCTGGATTACTTGGCTGGATCGTTTATTGCTGGATGTTTTTAGACCCGTATATAAATGATGCGCGCAGAGGACCACTTGATTAATTTTGAGATAACGATGATTCTAGCCCATCGCGCCCCAGCTGCGTATGACTCCGTGCATTTATATATATATATACACATAATACTACAATAGGTATAGATATATTGACGTCCAAGTCGGGGATTTGCAGCTCTTCACCTTGATCGAGGTCTACTCCCGAAGCGTCATGTTCATCAATGTGGGTATTGCTGTGGTGGTGCCGGCCTGTGAGGACCGGCCTGTGCGGTGGAGACCGGGGGCAGAGACGAGACCTGAACCAGGTCATCGTGGACCCTGGACCCACCTGGACCCATGGAGAACCGATCGCATTTTGTGAGGTGCGTTTTGGTAGAACATGGTGAGGCTGATGCGACAGTGATGTGGTGAAAACCGATTGATCAGGAGACCATTCAATGGCTTGGGTTCCTGGTAGTTCCTTTGCCTGCAGAGGTGGTATCTCAATGTATCTCACAGGTCTCAAGAGTTCATTTTAGGATTGCTTGAGCATAGTGAACTCAACATATCTCAACATGGATGAACAGAGACCGACTGTTGGGTTGGTTAACCCAGTACACTGAAACCCAAAAGGTTCTTGGTGCAGAGACCGACCGATGGCTTCGCCTTGCTTTCAATATTTGTCTATGTGTACACATACACCACTACTCCCGCTACTTGGGTGGCAACTTTTCTGGAAAACAGCTGGTAAGTCCCAGTAAAGGCCCGGAGTGGTATGAAGCTACTTGGCCCACTCGGGGAAGGGAGGACTTCAACCATAGAAATGTAGATGCTGTCGCCGTTTGTAAATATTATAGACTATACTATACTACTGTAATAAGATAGTATGTGTACATATGACATGTTTGTATATACCGATGGAAAAACTGTGTTCACAGACACAGGGGTTGTGCTTTCAGATTCGAGTGCCCGGAAATGCTGTCCGAAACATGTTGTTGTACTAGACTTGTAATACATATATGTATATAGATAGATATACTTTTGAGTGTTGGCTTGACCAGGGTCTGATGTTTCTACCTATTTAGGAGCCTGTTAGCTCTTCAGACCCTTCGAGACCGTCCTCGGTGAAGATGCAGAGACCCTTCGAAGGGCGTACTGTGAGACTGGCCGCGGCGAAAAATATCAGCTGGTGATGTAAGGCCACCACACTGTGTATGCATATCTGCGTCGTTGTGTTCCTTTCGCAATGTGTTCTCGCCTTTCGTACCCCACTTTGTCGCGTTTGGTAGGCGAAGCTCCGGCAATCCTCGCTGGCGGCGATGACGAGCGCCGCCTTTTTCCTCGTGGGAGGCGCTCTTGAAGAGTCTCGTAGACTTGTCTATATTTTGTTTGTCTACTCAGAGTCTACTGCTGGTTTGTCTACTCAAATTGAGTAGAAAGCAGATTTGTTCGCATGTTTTAAGCAAGCAGGAGTAGTTCCTTGTTTGTCTACTCAGAGTCTCTCATGTAGCGAGAACTTATCTAGCTGGATGTTCACCGTTCCAGTGGAGCCTTTTTGGGGGATTGATGCGGGGCCCAAAAGAAACAGACCACCCGAAAGAACCTGTCAGTGTGAAGGCATACCTTGGCAGCTGCATGTGGCATGAGAAGGGGGCTGTTCAGTGACAGTGGGTTGGTTTGCAGCTGCTGTTTTAGACTGATATGACTTGAATTACAGTATATAGAACCTCACACGCGGGTAGCGGCTGGGCGATGCTCTATACATGGAGAGTGTTGCGGCAGCCGTTTAGTAGAAGAAATGCACACATTTGTATACATCAGACTCATGGGACAACCCAAACATGTGTGGAAGTAGAGTACTGTAATAGTTAGGATGTATGCAATGCTTTATTGAATTATTGACAAGGTTGATTCATTATGTTGGTGGTGCCTTTTTAAGATTCACGGCCCATTGTTCAATTTGGAGTTGCAGATCCATCAAGTTCCCAGAGGATCCCAGGAATCACTCCTTTGAGTCCTTGGAACCACTGGGACGACACCAGCGACGCAAGTGCGCCAGGATCCCCTTATGATATAAATGGATTCTGACCGCGGGTGATGGTGGTGTGCGTCGTGACCTGCGTTTGACCCTTCGGTGGGGCGATTCTGTGTTCAGGTTTGGTGGTCCAGACAACCAGGAGAGCGTCGCTACTAGCATCAAGAAGCTACTAGTAGCTCCTGGCACTACTACTAGGAACAAGAAATTACTAGGAACAAAGGGCATCGCTACTAGGATCAAGAAGCCAGCCTCATTCCGTGTTCAGGTTTGGTGGTCCAGACCACCAGGGGCCTCAGCTTCGAGTCCTTCACACAGAATGCCATGTTCCATTGCCTGGTGCGACAGAGATGCGGGGGTTCACCACAGGGTTGGGTGAATTTTTATTGAACTCGGTGTGCCATGTTGGATTGACTGTCAAGTACAATGACCAGAAAAATCGCTGAACTACTACATGGAATATCTTTTTCGAGGCCATGAAGTCGCCTGCTTGTCATACTCGCCGTCGATTCATTCTCCTTTTTCTGTATATTTTGTTGCATATATTGGAGGATGGTCTCATAATATTCCTTGAAACAAAAGAACAACACAATCTTGTAGGAAGAGTAAACTCCTCACTGTGCACCAGTGTTTGGACCTTTGCACCCGGGTCCGGTCCGGTTAAGCCTTATCTTTGCCTATCTTTATCTTACCTCACGTTTACCCATGTTGGCCCTCTTTGGACTATGTGGGGCGGTATTGGGGCGATGTTGCGCTCATTTTGGGTCTATGTCGAACCATCTATAGGGCCTATGTTGCCATCTCCTGTTTTGTCGTGGCGACAGCCTCTTCCTGCTCGGGGGCCGCAGAAATCCAGCGAAAAAGGCGGCGAACATGTCAAGTAGAGAGACACAAATTCCCACTTCTTTGATGAACTCCACCCCTCGCTGGCCTTTCGTTCTCTTGTTCTCCGCTATAACAAGAAGCTACTAGAAACAAGTGCCACGCTACTAGGAACAGGTG